AAAAAAAAAAAAAAAAAAAAAAAAAAAAAAAGAGATGAGGTTTCACCATGTTGGCAAGGATGGTCATCTCCTGACCTTGTGATCCACCAACCTCGCCTCCAAAAGTGCTGGGATTATAGGCAAGAGCCTGTGTGCATGGCCAGACCCTGGCATTTTAAAAGCTCCTTGGTAATTCACATGTGCAGCTAGGGTGGGGTGGGGGGGCTCTGCTCTGCAGAATAGGGAAGGGGTGTGAGTGGCCTTGTGTCCGCCTTGAGTCCATAGCTGCCACCTGCTGGTCCATCCATTCAGCCGTTGCATGACACAGGTCATCCTCTGGGGGCTGCTAGGCCCCTCGCACTGGGCAACCTGAGTGTCCCCTCTGCCCCTGAAGCAGGTGGGCCATCCTTGGAGCGGCGCAGAAGAGCTGAGGTGGGGTGGGGGTGGTTCAGGCCTTGAGGCGGTGCCTGGTAAGCCCCAAGAAGGATAGGGAGGAGAAGGAGGGAGGGGAGAGGACAGTGCAAGGGCAGTGACCCCCAGCTTGGCCCCGTTTTGAGCATGGGGACAGTGTACACAGATAGTGAGGAAATGCCTGTGTGTTCATTTTCTAATCCGTTAATCTTCACTTTTTGTGTATTCTATGTACTTTTTAAAGGTTTGTTTTGTTTCTTTTCTAACTTTCTGTGTTAGATGTATAATTTCGTTTCTTTATTTAAAGATAAGGATTTTTTGTCTTGTTGGTGGTTTTTTGTTTTTGAGACAGTCTCACTCTGTTGCCCAGGCAGGAGTGCAGTGGCACAACCGTAGTTCACTGCAGCCTCCACCTCCTGCGCTCAAGCGATCCTCCCACCTCATCTGAGTAGCAGGGACTACAGGCGTGCACTACCACACCCAGCTAATTTTTGTATTATTATTATTATTTTTTTTTTTGTAGAGATGGGGTTTTGCCCTGTTGCCCAGGCAACAAGCAAATCTACCCATCTTAGACTTCCAGAGTGCTGGGATTATAGGCGTGAGCCACTGTGCCTGGCTAGAGATAAGGTTTTTTTTTCCCCTAGTCCCTGAAAAGATAAGATTTTAAAACTATAGCTTTTCCTCTGAGAACTTTTTTTTTCTTTAAGTAGAATCTGCTGTGCAGTGTTTTCATCCTTATTATTTCTGTATATTCTGAGTTTCAGAGGTTTTTTGTTTTGAGACGGCATCTTGCTCTGTTGCCCAGGCTGGAGAGAAATGGTGCTATCTTGGCTCACTACAACCTCCGCCTCCCGGGTTCAAGTGATTTCTGGCTAATTTTTGTATTTTTAGTAGAGACGGGATTTTGTCATGTTAGCCAGGCTGCTCTTGAACTCCTGACCTCAAGTGATCCATCTGCCTCAGCTTCCCAAAGTGTTGAGATTATAGGTGTGAGCCACCGTGCCCAGCCATAGATGTTGGTTTTGACTTCCCCTTTAACTTGTGAAGAGTTTTTCTCCCCAGAGGTGGTAGCTTCTTTTTTTTTTTCCTTTGGAGTTTGTCATACATTAAAAAAAATTTTTTTAGGCCGGGCACGGTGGCTCAAGCCTGTAATCCCAGCACTTTGGGAGGCCGAGGCGGGTGGATCACGAGGTCAAGAGATCGAGACCATCCTGGTCAACATGGTGAAACCCCGT